ACAGTCTCACTCTGTCACCCAGGCTGGAGTGCAATGGTGTGATCTTGGCTCACTGCAATGTCCCCCTCCTGGGTTCAAGCAATTCTCCTGCCTCAGCCTCCCAAGTAGCTGGGATTATAGGCACCCACCACTCATGCTTGGCTAATTTTTTGTATTTTTAGTAGAGATGGGGTTTTGCCATGTTGTCCAGGCTGGTCTCAAACTCCTGACCTCAGATGATCCACCCACCTTGGCTTCCCAAAGCTGGGATTACAGGTGTGAGCCACTGCACCCAGCTCTTTTCTTAAGTCATTCTAATAGGTGTTTAGAAGTGGTTCTAATTTGCACTTTCCTAACGACTAATGATATTAAGTATACATATACTTATATATTTTAATATATAATTTTATATATAATATACATAATATTTTTGTATATTTATATATATATATATATATATATTTTTTCTTTTTTGAGACAGGGTATCACTGTGTTGCCCAGATTGGAATGCAGTGGTAAAATCATAGCTCACTGCAGCCTTGACTTCCCAGGCTCAAGCAATTCTCCTGCCTCAGCCTCTGGAGTAGGTGGGACCACAGGCCATGCCACCATGCCTGGCTAATTTTTTTTTTTTTTTAATTTTGTAGAGATGGGGTCTCCTTGTGTTTCCCAGGCTGGTCTCAAACTCCTGGACTCAATCGATCCTCTCATCTCAGCCTCCCAAAGTGGGATTACAGGCATAAGCCATTGCACCTGGCCTTAATTATGTTTTTATGTACTTATTGTATATCTTCTTTGGTGACATTCAAATCATTTCACCCTTCGTTATTGTAATAGTAAGCAATTATTGTTTATTTTCTTATTGTAAGGTTTTAAAAGTTCTTCTTTTTTTTTTTTTTTTTTTTGTGTTTTTTTTTTTTTTTTTTTTTTTTGAGTTGGAGTCTCACTCTGTGGACCTGGAGTGCAGTGGTGCGAACTTGGCTCACAGCAACCTCTGCCTCCCGGGTTCAAGCGATTCTCCAGCCTCAGCCTCCCGAGTAGCTGGAATTACAGGTATGCACCACCATGCCTGACTAATGTTTGTATTTTTACTAGATCTGGGGTTTCACCATGCTGGCCAGGCTGGTCTTGAACTCCTGACTTCAAGTGTCCCACCCACCTCAGCCTCCCAAAGTGCTGGAGTTCAAGACACAAGTTCTTTATCAGATATTGATTTTCAATTTTTTTGACATCTGTAACTTGTCTTTTCGTTTTCTTAACTGTGTCTTTTGCAGAGCAAATATTTTAATTTTGATGAAGTTCGATTAATCAATTTTTTTCCTTTATGGATCATGCTTTTGGTATCACATCTAAAACCTCTTTGCATAACTCAAGATCTAAAAAGACTGTCTTCTATGTTTTCTTCTACACATTTTGTAGTTGTACATTCTATATGTAAGGTTTATAATCCATTTTTCCATTTTAATTTTTACATAAGGTATGATATATAGGTTGAGCTCATTTTAGTTTTACATGTGCATGTTCAGTTGTTCTGGCCCCATTTGTTAAAAAACTGATCCTTTCTCCATTCAGTAGCCTTTGAATCTTCATCAAAATCAGTCATATTTATATGCATCTGTTTCTGGGCTATCTGTTCCATTGATCTGTGTGTACATCCTTTTGCAAAGATCACACTTATGTTTGTTTTTTTTCTTACATTTTTATTTCAAAATCTATGGATATCTTATAACCCAGAAATATTTTTTCTTTTTCTTTTCCCTTTTTTTGAGATGGAGTCTCACTCCATCTCCAGGCTGGAGTGCAGTTGCATGATCTCTGCTCACTGCAACCTCCACCTCCTGGGTTCAAACGATTCTCCTGCCTCAGTCTCCCAAGTAGCTGGGACTACAGGTGCACGCCACCATGACTGGCTAGTTTTTTGTTTTAGTAGAGATTGGGTTTCACCATGTTGGCCAGGATGGTCTCAATCTCCAGACCTCATGATCCACCCACCTCACCCTTCGAAAGTGCTGGGACTACAGGTATGAGCCATTGTGCCAGTACCAACCCAGAAATATTTTTTATACCTTGTCATGTCTTACAGGAAGCAGCAACACAGGTCTTTCTTTTTTCATTCATATTTTCTTCTCTCTTCGTACTCCAGAGGTAGATGAAAATCAGGGGGCCACAATGACCATGGTGATGCCTGAGGTCATTCTGGGGCACAGACTTCAGCTTAGGTTACTCCACTTGGCCTGTCTGCAACTCCAAAACTACTTCTGCTGTCTGCTGAGACATACAAAGGAGAAGAATCAGGTTTGGGAAAGGATTTCTATGCTAAGATGTGTCTCCATGCAGTGCTCCTACACTGAGCAGAGCATGAGTCAGGTGCGTAGAGCAGGATTTTGTCCTAAACAGGAACTTCAGAGTTTTCTGAAGAATGTGGCCATATAAAGCACCCCCTACCCCACCCTTACTTCTAAAGTACGTTATGTGGCAAGTCTGAAAAAAACTTACACTTCTGTTGTTAAATGTGGGTGATAAAATATAAACTTAGCTTAAAGAGGAAGCTATCTTGGGAGGTAATGCAAATGATTTGTTGTGTGTTTCCTGAACATGTGACAGGTGCTGACACCCATTGATATCTGGTTGCAATAAAATGCAAAGCTCCCTCAAGAATTTTAAATAACACTCCAACATATTGGAAATGCATCAAGTTAGGTGTTCTAATCTAGCAAAGGACCTGCATGTATGTATTTTTCATGCTTTTGTCAAGTCTTTTGCCCTTTAGTTCAGTTAAGGGCCCCAAATGAATGGAAATCTTGTGTGGTCTGCTTAATTTTGTAGTTGTGGAAACCTTCTAGTTTTCTCCTTTATCTAATACCCTCAGGAGCTCAATGCTAGGTTGCAGCTTAATTTAGTAACCATGTGGCATGTAAAACAGAAAACAAAACATCTTTTCCCTAGCATACAGCTAAAAAACCAAAACATTCATTCATGGATGTAGTGTATGCATGCCAGTGGATATACAGTCATAACTGCAGTCATTGGTAGCACAGAAATAAATATGCATTGAAGATACAGGGATGAATTTGAATTCCATTCTTTGACCTTGGGCAAGCTGTGTCACTTCTTTAAGCCTCAGTTTCCCCATCTGTAAAATGTGGATAGCAAGATCTACCTTGCAGAGTTGTTGGGAGCATCAAATGAAATGATCGGCTCGCCCAGTGTCTAACTTATTGTGTTTAAGAAATATCAACTATTACTCTACTTTCCAGTAACAGTCCAAATACAGACCAGTGTTATAACTCTATTTCTAAATATTAATGTGCATGTAAATCACTGTGAGCTTGTTAAAATACAGATCCTGATTCCCTAGGTCTGGGGAAGGCCTGAAATAATACTTCTACCTAGCTTCCAGGTGAAGCTGAGGACAATACTTTGAATGGCAAGATGGTAAAAGATGTTTGCAAGTGCAAATGTTAAACTGTGTAACTAATGGTTCCAAATACTGTCTGCACATTAGAAGCTCCCAGGAAAAGAAAACTTTTTAACGATGCTGACCTCATCCCCAAAATAATTTAATTCAAACAGATCTAAAGTAGTGCCTGGGCATTAGTGTGTTTTAAAAGCCTACAGGTGATGCCAATATTAGCTACGATTGAGGCCGTCTGCTTAGTGAATCTAATTTGCAGCTGGGCTTCAGAAAAGCCTCTTCACAGAATTGTTTGCAACAGTGTTTTGATTGCCTCTGTAACTTATAAGCAAGAATGTTTCAGGATTTCAAAAATGTACTGCATTTCCTAAACTCCTTATTTTACATGGAATATTCCAACTCAAAGTTTACATGTCTTAAAACTTTACCTGGGGCAAAATTAGACCAACTAACAATTAATCTTCTAGTTATTCTGAGCTATTCAGACACATGACTCATGTTTGCTAATTGCTCTTTCCTCTTGTAAATATTAGCTGAAAAATGTCACCTCTCTGACAAGTAGCATATTTTATGCCTATCACTCCTGGCACATAATCTTACAAAGCAGACAGGAGAAACAGGAAGCAAATTGACTTTAATTAAAGACCCAGAGAGTACAGAGGGAAGTTCTGCTGTAAGCTAAGGGGAGTTCCAGAGGAAGTTGCATGTATTCCCTCTCTCATGAGAAGAAAGCACAGTTCGGTAAATAAATTTGCTAAATAGATTCAACAGAGCCTCTACCCAAAGTCTTCTATTTAATTCTTGTTGTTATGCAGACTCAGCAGCTAACCTACCATGTAAGCCCCATTTTCTTCCCTGTTTATCACATGTAATTAAACAAGATAAGTAATACAGAAGAGTAAAAGTAGTAGGTAATTCCTGAACTTGGCACATCGAAAATGGTTACTACATATTTGATGAATAGTTGGATATTCTTCTTCAAGGGCAGACTGGATTTGGTATCACGTGGCTCTGCATTAAGTTATAAGGGACTTAATAACTCAAGTATTTAAGGATGGCTTCCATCGTCAAGGGATCTGCCCTTAAGAGGGTCCCATTATGGGATTCTGAGGTGAGAGCTATTCCAAGTGTGCAGTGGATTGAAAAAAAAAAAAAGGAGAATCATACAGGAAATCTCTTTTTACATGTATTATTCCAGGGTCTTTGCAACCTGGTCCAGCAACTGCAGATGTGATTAACATTGTTTTACACACATACACACACCTTATAGCCCTGCCCCTGCCCCTCTCCTGCACAAAAGAATGCTGGGAATACATGAACTCCTCTCTGTAGAAAGGCACATTAATGTTCTAGCCATGGTTAAAATGGAACAGAGACAATCTATAAATGTAATCTATAAATGACATTTGATATAAATGTCAGTCATTTGAAATAAAGTTTGTGCCTATTACTATCAAGTGTGCTGTGTGGCAATTAAGAATGCCAATTTGTGTGATCACAGGCAAGTTGCAGTTTGATGAAAGGAAAGCAGAGGAGAATATATAGCCAGGGTCATCCTTCCTTGCTCCCTCTCTCTCCGCCTGTCATTTATTTGCCAAACTCTTCACTAGAACTTGATATGTGCTAGGTACTGCAGATATCAAAGCAAACTCAACCTGGTCTTTGCCTTCAAAGACTTGCAGGATACTGATAAGAAAAACTTGAGTCAGAGGACAACTGCAATGACAGTCATCCAAGCAACAGAAAACCCAAGTTACTTATACTGTGAAATCTGATCAGAGAATTGGCTGTCCTGATTAGTAAAATATCCTGGAGGATAAAGATTGGCCATGCATTCCACATAAGAATTACCACTTTTCCAAGAATTAACATACGTACAAAAGAAAGGAATGAACATTTGCTGAGTGCCAACTGCCTGCCAGATCCAGGGACTTCACATGTATCACCTCATCCAGCCTCACAACAATACTGAGAGGTAGAATCCAATCTCATTTGATAGATAAACAGGCTGAGGCTTATAGAGAGTAAAAGATGGAATCACAGTCAAAGCTTTCCTAACCCTGGAAGTCAGCATTTGAACCCAGGCTTACCTATCACTTGATCCTATGCTCTTCCATATATGCAAACAATTTCTTGAATAGCTAATGCTTAGAATAAGCCCCAAAATATTTGTTGAATGAATGATATGACTGAATAAATGAATAAGTGAATGAAGCAAGCTCTACTGAACATACTTTGATCTAATCATCTGTGATTATTCAGAAACTGCTTCAACATTTTCCCATACCTCCATCATAATGAATACCCATTCACTAATGATGGAAGCAGCCTAATTTTGTTGTTTTTCATACTTTATTCATCCAAATACTACCTTCACTAGTTTTGTCATGTTTGGCCACCTTCTGCTATTTTTTATAGAACTATTTAAATCAATTCAACTTTTAAAAAATAAAACCATATACCCCTGTGGTAGATGAAAAACAGTATCATTTGCACTGGTAAATGGAGAATAGGAAGAAAAATAAATGCAGTGAAAATAAAGTAGTGTTATCAAATTCTACCCAGACACTGTTATCTAGCTGGAAGCTTCCTGTTTGATTAAAAAGGAAAAATAGCCAATGTTAGAGGTGTGGAAGTCTAGTAGCAAATTATATACAATTGAAGAATTAGAACAGAATTGAAAAGGGAATAAATTCCTCTCTGAATAATTTAACTCCCTTTAGGCTTTGATTTTGCCTCATCTAAAATCATCTTACATACTGCTAGTGGTGCGTCCCTCACATTTTGGTAAACAGTGAGTGGAAACTATGGATTTTGAAGTCAAACATCTGACTGGCTCTGATTTTTAACTTTACTAACTGTATGTCCTGAAGTGAGCTGCTTGGAGCCAGTTTCCTCAACTATATAACCATAATGACAAAACATGTTTCATGGTCATGTTTTCAGTATGAAGCAATGCAGTTTTAAAGTACCTAGCACAGTGCCTGGGATGGAACATAGCAGGTATACATTAGCTATCAGTTCCATTTTTCCTTTCCCTTTATTGTTAGAAAATAGAAAGCATCTACAGTGGGCTTGTATGATGTGGTGGTTAGAAACACCTGATCTGATTCTGGCTGTGCAATATTGGGTAAGTTACGTAAGCTTTTTGTGCCTCAATTTTGTTTTCTGAAAAGAGGATAGAATATTATTATTTACCTTGCTGGCTTCTGGGAAGACTCAGTGAGACAATGTGTTAGCAGAGTGTCTGACAATTGTAAGAACTCAACAAGTAATAGTTATTATTGCTATCACTGGTGAGAAGAAGTGATATTTGACAGGAAAAGATATGCATTGAAGAAAATGAACCTGGAGAATAGGATGTGAAGGTAATTAAGTAACAAGAGCTCAGACCTTGATGGTAGGGAAGTCATAAGGAAGCATTTTGTTCTTATATGACAGATGACCTGGAATGACTGCAGGGCTTGGGGGATCAGGGACTGGAGGAGGGAGAGGCCTCTAAGAGCAAGCAGTGCTGTCCACCAGAAGCTGGAGTGCCCAGAGAGTAGCAAAGGGCAGTCAGTAGCACAGGAGGGAATGTTTGGAGGGGAAAGCTATGTCTTGTTTTCTTTTCAGCTTTATTCACAGTGACAGTCCCTAAGGAATTGTACATAGTAGAGCATGGCAGCAATGTGACCCTGGAATGCAACTTTGATACTGGAAGTCATGTGAACGTTGGAGCAATAACAGCCAGTTTGCAGAAGGTGGAAAATGATACATCCTCACACCGTGAAAGAGTGAC